CTTTAAATGTCAGTAGCATTGGCCTCTAGGGTCCATTAGCTGACTGCTACACTGGACAGGAGCTTCCATTAAAGTCCTATGTTTAGCAGGCTAGGCCACGTTAGGCAAATAAATAGAGTGGAAGTGGGGGTGGGGGGGAGGAGGAGGATAAGGGAAGAAAAGGGTAGAAAAGGGCAGTGTTGAAGTATGATAACCGCGTGAGACATGAGCAGAAATTCACAGTGATCACGTCAGCAACGACGAGTCATTTCTCCAGGCAGCAAACAGTGCAACCCTATGACCATCAAACCCCAGGGATACCATCCCTCCCACTGCCAGATACAATAAACGTGATTTCCTGGTGGCAAATATTACCATATATCAATACCACACCGCATTCGCCTTCTGTGCCGCCTGCAGTTCACAGTCTTATACCTCAAGACATTAATTCCTAAAGGTTAATGTAAATAATTTTAGCAATATTTTCTTAAAATTCTGCAATCAGTTAATCATTCTAATAAAGAGGAGACAAATTTACCCAACATTACCATTCAAACACTCCATGAAACATTTAATATTTTCACCGAATGTGTTAATATTGATTTCATTGCATTTAAATTACACAGTAATGTGCTGGTAGCACTTGCTGGAATTTACAAAATGCCTCCCTGCGTTTTCTTTCAATTTACAACCCCAATTCCGAAATAGTTGGGACTAAGTGTAAATTGTGAATAAAATCTAAATGCAATGACTTTCAGATCATGAGCCAATATGTTATTTACAATAGAACATCGATAACATTTCAAATGTTGAAACTGAGACATTTTACATTTTTATCCACAAAATGAGCTTATTTCAAATTTTCTGGCTGCAACAGGTCTCAAAGAAGTTGGGACACAGGCAAAAAAGGCTGAAAAAGCAATTTATATATAAGAGAATCAGCTGAAAGAACATTCAGCAAGTAATTAAGTTAACTGGCATCAGGTGTGTAACATCATTGGCTATAAAAGGGATGTCTTAGAGAGGCCGAGTCTCACAGAAGTAAAGATGGCCAGAGGCTCTCAAACCTGTGAAGGCTTGCATACAAAAATTGTGGAATACTTTAAAAACAATGTTCCTCAACGTCAAATTGCAAAGGCTTTGAAGGTCTCATCATCGACAGTGCATAACATCATCAAAAGATTCAGAGAAACTGGAAAAATCTCTGTGCGTAAGGGACAAGGCCGAAGACCTTTACTGGATGCCCGTGATCTTCGGGCCCTCGGACGCCACTGCATCACTCACCGGTATGATTCTGTCATTGACATTACTAAATGGGCCCAGGAATACTTCAAAAAACCACTGTCTGTAAACACAGTCCGTCGTGCCATCCACAGATGCCAGCTAAAATTCTATCATGCAAAAAGGAAGCCATTGTTGAGCATGATCCAGAAGCGCCACCGTGTTCTGTGGGTCAAGGCTCATTTAAAATGGACTGAAGCAAAGTGGCAAAGTGTCCTGTGGTCAGACGAGTCCAAATTTGAAATTCTTGTTGGAAATCATGGGCGTCGTGTCCTCCGGGCTAAAGAGGAGAAAGACCACCCCTCCGATTATCAGCGTTCAGTTCAAAAGCCAGCATCTCTGATGGTATGGGGATGCATTAGTGCATATGGTGTGGGACACTTGCATATTTTAAAAAGCACCACGAATGCTGAAAGGTATATAAAGGTTTTACAGCAACATATGCTCCCCTCCAGATGACATCTATTCCAGGGAGGGCCTTGTGTATTTCAGCAGGACAATGCAAAACCACATACTGCAGCTATTACAACAGCATGGCTTCATAGTAGAAGAGTCCGTGTGATGAACTGGCCTGCCTGCAGTCCTGATCTTTCACTGATTGAGAACATTTGGCGCATAATTAAACGAAAAGTCCGTCAAAGGAGATCCAAAACTCTCCAGCAGCTGGAAGCCTGTGTTAAACAAGTGGAATCAAATTCCAATGGCTAAACTCAAGAAACTTGTCTCCTCAATGCCCAGACGCCTCCACTCTGTTAAAAAGAAGAGGGGATGCTACACCATGGTAAACCAGCCCCGTCCCAACTTTTTTGAGACCTGTAGCAGCCATCAAATTTGAAATGAGCTCATTTTGTGGATAAAATTGTAAAATTTCTCAGTTTCAACATTTGCTATGTTATCTCTGTTCTATTGTGAATAAAATACTGACTAGTGTGATTTGAAAGTCATTGCGTTTTGATTTTATTCACAATTTACACTTTGTCCCAACTATTTCAGAATTGGGGTTGTAGAAGGTGTAATACATCAGACCAATTCAATACCACAGTAAGCTATATGCAATACCATTTTCTGAGACAGGACAATTCTATACTGTATAACAGAGAGGACTATCACAGCCAGGCAGGGTGTTTAATCAAGTTTGTTCAATCTGCCAACATAGTGTCCTCAAGTGACATCGCAACTGTCATTCTGGGGTATTTAGTAGGACTAGCGGTAATGCATTCTTGCAAATGGATAGCAATGAACTGCCCTTCACCCACTGTATGTTGGGATATGCTCCAGCTTTTCTGCGACCCTGACCTGAAATAAGCAGGTTTAATAATGGATGGATGGACTAGCCGTAATGCAAGATGTGCTAGAGGGCAGGCGTATGTCCAAACCAGAACAAATAAGGCCGACAGCGAGAGTTCACAGGTCAACGAAGGCCCAAGTTGGGTCCGTAGCGGGTCGTTTGTAGCGGCTTTCCACCATAGAAACAAGCACTTCGCTTAAGTGTATGCAGCCCTACGGCGGACATTTTGCAGTTCTGCCATTGCCATATGGTAAACACTAGGATTCACATCAACAAAACTCCAGGGGGGGCGAATGTAAATGAATGCAGAGTGCATACGCCACAGCAGATACATCAAAGGGGGAAATTACAGTAGGGAGTGTCAGAAAAATAGTCTTGTGAATTCTGAAAATCAGCGGACTGGAGAGCAGCAAGGCAAAAGCACCGTCATGACCGAATGGCAGCCATTACTGCATCAGGAAGCGAGTAAAACAATTAATGTGACAAAGAACTAAGCGCATGAATGGAAGGGGTCTTTAATTAAAGCAGTATTTTCACAACAGTGAATACAGGGCTTAAAGTATGCAGCTACGAAATTGTCCAATACATATTGCAGTTGACTCATCAAGAGTCCATGCCTCTCTGACGAAGAGGAGGAGTTTGAATTTTTCCTCCTCAGTCATGTGCACCAGTGAATATCTCTGAGTATATGATTTGTCCACTCCAAAGACCCTATCTAAAACCAGACGTTGAATTTTTACCGAGTATTAATTTTGTCCTATTTCTCTTTCGCGGAAGCCTTTCATGACACGGAGCTGGAATACAGCGAACAACACAAACGGGCGAGCCGTGATGAGCTGCTGCTCAGTGTCACGCAAACACACAGGACTTCAGCGAGACCAGAGTAACGAAAGCACTCCATATCACAATAGTTAAGCAGAATATCGTCAATTAACAGCGTGTTTTTAACGATAAATTATGGAGTGCATCATAGTGGGATGCGACAATGATTTCAACAGTATAAGCAATATTACTACTGTAGTTGCCAATTGGAGATCTGGAGTGGCGCAAGCCGTGATTAATGGCCATCAGACCTCCAAACTACAACATCAACACGCCACAGGATGTGCGATAACAACATCACTCACTATTGCGTGTGTGTGGCGATAATTTTCTAGAAAGTGAGTATATTCCTGTATGGAAGAGCTCAATCCTCAGGAGAACTGCAGTTACCGCACTCATCCTTGATTGTGTTGATTCTCCTGAACAGGTCAAAGGACCTCATATCCAAAGGACGGACTCTACTTGCATTTAAAAATTATAATTACGCAAAATCAAAGGATGGAAATAACCAACAGGAATAGATCATTTTCCAGAATGTATAAATGTCATATTATCAGCTCAAACAAATGAAATACGGTTTCTTTTTCTTCAGACAGAAGTTGGAGATGTTACTCTTACCTTGACATGTTTTCACTGTTGTCTGTTGTTAATGTATCTTGGAAATATGTTGGAAACTCTAGATTTAAAACACGCTGTGCATTAATTTCTAAGTTCGCTGCGTTTTCAATGCAAGTGAATGATGAGGCAAAATTCTGACACGGTTACCTCGTCACAGAGGCGTGGCATCTTGCTCAGTCAGATGCAATATGTATTGGACACATTGGTAACTGCATATTAAGCCCAGTATTTGATGTTGTGAAGGAATCACTTTGTAGACACCCACCGCCCACAGACCCACAGCCCAATATCCACCGTTCAGCATCTCACCAACACCCCCACACTCTGAAGCACCCAACCCTCAGCAGAGTTGCTACAGGCGCAGCAGCAGACCGCGCCAAATCCTGCCCCCGCACCCCATCCCCATCCCCCCCTCTGCATTAGCATTGGCTGGGAGCCACGGCAACGGAAGTGCTGCCAAACCCGGCCGCGTCCCTCCGGAGTTTCCCCGGCGACGCGCTGGCCAAGCCTCGGGCATTAACGCCTTACGCAAACTTTGAGGGACACCCGGGCTCAGGAAAGCACCGGGAGGAACATCATAAACCAGGATTACAGGGTTACTACGGTAACTGCCCTGAGTACAGCCCAGTGAGGCTCCTTTATACTACAGTCCATGCCAAAGATACACAAAGGCTTTACCCAGTGCAGTTCTCCTGTGAACAGGAAATGGGGACATACATGGCTGTACTTAATTTGATGCCAAAACAGCATAAAGAGCAACAGGCAGCACAGTAAGTCCACCAAACCCCTGCCCTCAACGCTATAAAAGTAAAGGCGAAGTCCTTCCTGAGCCAACTGCGGCTCAACAGGCAGCTCACTGTAGCATGAAGCGACTAGGAGTATGCTACTCCCTCTGTGCTACTCCCTCCATCGCAGGTTACTCCCCAGTATTTAGTCAGGTTCCCCAACAATTTGCCAGTACCCAATCATGGACCTGGGTGGAGTGGAGCACTGTGGGAAAGCACACTGCAAAGACCGTGGCAAGGACTCGAACTCCAGACCTTTGATCCTAAGTCTAGCATGCTCAACCACTGTGCCACCACATCCCCCAGCAATATTAAGCTACCACAAGTGATGCAAAAGCTGATCACGTTGCCATATTTTGAATGGATGTGGAGGCCTGAACAATGTCATTACGTTACCCCATTCATATATCCCCATTCACATACTGTATATGCACTCTGCAATTAAGACGGTATGTTTCATTGTTGAATCTACTTCATGTCATGGTGTAAAATGCACTGTTGATTTGGAGATTAGTGGTGATGGGAGTTCAAATGGAGAACCTGCAGATAATGCCATAAACACAATTATTACAGCGGAGTATGCCTCATTTGTGACAATGCGGCAGCCATAAAGGCATTCTTCCATGAATGTACTGCAATTTCTGACACAAGAATAAGTCATAAACACATTTCCTGCTAATTTCAGCGAGCACATCTTGACTGACTGCCGTCAGGCCCCCACGCACCATTGAAAGCCCCATTAGCCAGCATCAGTCCAACCACAACTGACTGAGGGTAACGCACGAGGCTAAACTCACTTGTGCATGTGCTCCACTCCAGCCAAAATCATGATGCTGTAGGTGATGCCACTCTGAACCAGGAAGTGTAAGGCATACCTAAAAGAGAGAAGGAGATGATCAGAACAGCACACAGATGGAAGAGTCACTGCTCAAAGGGGACGTCAGAGGGTTTGAGACTCGCAATGAACAGCCCACTTAAGTAACAATCACAAAACGCCACCCGTCCAAGGCTACATGCACACCAATACACTTTCACTTTAAAATATGTGCTGTTTTTTCTGAGCGTCCACACTGCTCCACCGTTTTCAAACCCCCAAAATGGAGACGTTTGAAAACCCCAGGACTGCCATTTAGTGTGGACAAATCTTTGTTTTAAAACCCCTTTCTGAAGATGTAGACGCCGGCGTCCGTAAATTCCAAAATTTAATTCCCAAACAATTCTGTAATTGAATTTCCAAATGTCTAGCTTCACTTGAATAATTTTCAAAAATCTCTGTGACACAAATCCTGAGTTCTAAAGCTTAAATAGGCTCATACACAACAGGAAAAACTGGCAAAATTTTGTATTCTGCGCAAAGGGGTTAAAGCACAGTTTTAAAATCAACAAATATTAGTGTTGATGTAGCGCCACCCCAGACCATCATACTACGTATGGTACTATGTAGTACGGTGGTCTTGGGCGGGGCTGGTGTGGGTGTAGCTTTAGGGAGTATTACAAGTCACCTCATGCAGAATATGACCGAAAGAACAATCCTTCAGTGAATCCTCAAAGGGGGCATTCTAAGCTAGTTTTCATACAGTTTACAGCAACTCAAAGTGTTCTCACAATGTAGCAGCAATTTTGTGGCAATGTAATAACATTCACAAAAACAGTTCTGTGACAATACGAGAACATTTAGCATTTCCCGAGTTATAGTATCGTTCAGTCAACAACTATAGGGTTAAAACTACTGAATATTACTCTGAATATCACATAATTTGAGTAAAGACCATCTTCAACAATGTTGTCCAAGGTAACTCTGCTCCTGATAATTTACAGAAAACACTTTGTGCAACCCTGAGGGTGAAGTAAACATGCCGCTTAAAACAGCAGGAAATGGATCAACCACCTGATCTGTAACAATATAATTGAGCCAGAGTGCATGTATATTTGGGTTTATGTACATTTGCCATAAAGATGTAGGTCTTATTTGGCACGTTGTGCCTGACCTCTCGTGACGGTGACCACCGTCTCAGAGGTGAGGCAGATAGATGATGCTCTTCATAAAACAAGTTACAGGCAGTGACCTTTGAATCTAGTCAGATTACCCAGCATGCTTCAGGAGCGAGGCAAGCCACCTCATGTTTCCAATACAAACAGAAATAGCAGGAGACAAACGAAGGGGGATGGTGGGGGGGTGGTGGTTGAAAGACCTCCACTGGGACCAGTCAAAACTCATTCACTTTACAGGGCAACACATACTTAACAGCACCACATCCTATCCAGGAAATACAGGGAGAACTATCCAATTAGAGCGCAGAGCTGAGAGGTTACTCTTCAGTTAAGAGCATCGACTCTGAAATCCTGGATTATGGCATAATAGGGCTGGTTATCAAATACCATGGGAGTGAGGGATCAAAGTAAACCTTGGAGGAATGGATGTTCCACCAGACCAAACACTGACTGACCCAGCAGGGGAAAAAGAGATCAGACAGGTCCTGGATCATCCTGATGAATAACAGACACTGGGCCTGTGACTGTGCACATGTACATGATGTACTGTATTTACATTGCATTTATTTGCCAGAGCCTTTTATCCAAAGTGACTTACAATAAGTGCATGGGGTGTGATGTACCATTAGTGATCTGGAAACTCAAGTTCAACCTATTAAAAAGACATTTAATTTGATAGGAAAAACAAGATTCACAGGGAAGAGAGCATAGCGTGCATGTGTCTGTGTGTGTGCATTTCAGAGAGAGAGAAAGAAAGAGAGCAGGAGAGAGAGAGCGAAAATGACATGGACAGATGTGATCACGTTCACCAAGGGTTCCAAAAATTGCAAGCATTTTCTAGTGCGTGACAACATGTGGTACTACAGTTCTGAAGTACTCATCCTCCACTGGCCAAGACCCCGAGGCCATCTTCTACACTAAAAGCACAGACATAAACTGCTGCAGAGGCATAACTCTCTTCAAGAGCAACTGGTAACCTGCAGACTAGCTGGTTCTAAAATTAGAATTACTATCAAAACAAAATGCATCCCACAGCATTGTCTTTCAACACAACCAATTATAGCCTGACCAAAATCCAAATTCATAGAATTAAAATCTGTGTAGTTTTCCATATTGATATAGCAAGAATTGCAGCCAGGGAGAATTCAGATTTTGTGAATTATGCCTCAGTGGGTAACTGCAATGCAGTGGCAGCCTTAAGCATCTGGGGGCCCATTTCAAACGCAAATGTGGGGCCCTATAAAACATAAGGACTTCATAATTTTGCTGAATGAAAGCTCACCACTTAGCCTATCCAGTGAAATTTCAACATTCCCGGATGACACTTGATGTTTATTTCTGATAATTTATTAAAATATTGGCAATAAAATATATGCATGTGCAAATAAATTTCTCAAAAACTGAAATGTGTAACTCACCCCAACAAGCTAGTTGCATTGCAAACTGCGGACGCCTTCGTGTACTTTATGCGTCGCTGAATTAGAAATTTTAAAAAAAGTTGCCACCTAAAATGATCAAAGGTTTAAATACAAACGGCGCAAAGAGCCCTTATGAGGGTACGGAGTTACGGGATAGCTCTAAAACATACTCACTGGGATAATGATAAGGTAAAATTTGGATGCAATTCAAACTTCGAAATCCCATCAACATCGCTTGAGTAGACTAGGTTTAGAAGCATTCGGTGACTCGTATTGCTAGATCTGAATTCAAATTTGCATATTACGCAACACTGGGTGACGCAGTATCCCTTTGCTTTGTCAGAGAATGAGGCTGGCTTTGCTATAGCCATTAAGATGAATAAAACCATCAATACGTTTTCAGCTTGTTCACCGTTTTAATGTTTTCATTCAATTGCGATTCCATGTGAATTAAGGAGCATGTTTTTTTCGCTCAAAGTACATGTAGCTAACGTTATATTAAAACGCAGCACAGTGTGTAACGTTAATGTTATGCACTGATAACAGATAGGCGAAAATCGAACAGGTCCGCACCGGTCATTTTCTGCCCGCTGTTTCTGCGTGGAGATGCTTGAACTCTGACTTGTCCCAGAAAACTCGCCTCTCGTGGGCTTTGGTTGGGTTATGTCCTGAAACTCCTTTGATATAGAGTAGCCAGAAGTTACCTAAGAGCCATAACTTCTTAGAACTTGGAAGCATACGTTCGTTTTCAAGGTGCGTAATTTCCGTCAAATACTCATCAGACACCAATAAAAGGAAAGCAGAAGAGTTCTTTAATGTTGCAACTTAAATTTTGCGAATTATCATCGCATTTTACCGATCAGAAGCTATTTTGACTGGGTCGGTTCCGGAAGCTACCAGACCCTGACCTGGCCCGAATCCAAACATTTCCATAATGTTCGTGGATAGTTTAATGCGTAAAAAACACCAAAAAAAAGATAAATAATGCTATAAAATGTACACATTAAAGCTCACTGTTATATACAATATTAAATACCCCCGGTATGCAGCAAGCGAATTACTTTTTTATTTGTTCACCTGCCAACTGATAAGTCCGAGGCGCTGGCAACATTGGCTAAAGTACTGTACTTCCGAAATTCCTGGAGCATCAGCTATCATTGCTCTTTTGCTGCAATCATTTGTAGACGATGAATAATTACTACACTTCTTTTCCAGCTCAGTGTCCATGAAACTATCATAATTTGCCGGAGAAAACCCATATGACCACCGTGAACCGTATATTCTGCGCATTCGCCGCAACTCAGAGAAGGGGCCCCATCTAGGGGGATTTCGAGGCACCAGCCGGGGGTGCGCTACAATGCCTTCATAGAAGGGTTAATGGGGTTTTTATAAGTCATTGCAAAATGTGCCAATTTGAGTGGCCGTCGGGGATCCCAAACATTTGTCTTTTTTGGGGGACTCAAATATTTTCCCGGTTTGCCTTTCCTGCCTGTGCGCCTCTGCGTGTTTTCATACAGTCAACGTGTAGGATGTTAATTCTTGCCTGGCAACTGGGGGCCCCCTGGAGGTCGGGGCCCGTTTCAACTGAAACGGTTGAAACATAGGTAAGGCCGCCTATGCTGCAATGATATGGTTTTCCAATTCTATATGGGGTCAACAGCACCCCAAAAACTTCAGAGGCGTAGCCTCGGTTGTACAGTCTTTCTCAGCAATGAATCTGCGTACAGCTGCTAATGCACACAAAGTCTCAATTGCTCAGACACAAACCAAATCCGACTGTCACAGCAGCGTGTTTGATGACAACGCGACGGCTTGCTACTGGATATTCGGTTACGCCCGAATCGACCCGCCTACCCCTCGGGGAGGAAGCGAGGAACTGGAGACAGCGTC